ATCAGTCCAGATGCCTTTGGTAATCCAAGGATTATTGGTTGGTTACGATGCTAAACCTATAGGGACGGTTTTGGGTTGTGACACATTCGTATGCGCTTTCAAAGCAACATTTATAGCATAGTTGAATGTGAGTGGGAAGCTTCGATTTTTCTCCATTTGAATTTTTGCCACCACTTGCTTTGCATTTCTGTCATAAATGGTACAACTGTTAGCTTCAAAATGGACTGCATATCCATGTTCCACAAGTTGTCCAACACTTAATAGATTTTGCTCCAAGTTTGGAACAAACAACACATCATGTATAAACTTATTCCTTGTTTGGGATAATCTAAAAAAGCTAAAAAGTCAAAAATTTACTAAAAAACTAAAAAATCTATACTATTCAAGAGTAGCTTGTGGGGGAAGCCAGAATTTAACTACCCAAAAAATCAAAAAGTTAAAAGTCAAAAAGTCAAAGGGTAAAATGGTCATTTTGATTTTACTACAATATTTTATTACACATCTTTTCGTAAAAAGATAAAAAGTTATCCCAAACATACATTTTTTTTTCTCTACTTTTTTAACTAAAAAGTAAAAAAGTGCATTTATATAGCACATCCCAAATAACTACTTAGTCCCCTTCTTTGTTTCAACTCTTATGGTTCCTTTTCCCTTTGTATTTACTAACACTCCATTTCCCATTTTAACTTGAGAGCAAATTGAAGTGTCCATGTCCAAGAAAATAGACTTATCACCTGTCATATGATTGCTACACCCACTATCAAGGTACTAAACATCATTTTTGTGTTCTGAGGCTACTTGACAAGCATAAAATAAGTTCCCTTCTCTATCTTTCTCCTTCGAAAAATTAGCTTGTTGATTGCTCTTGACTTTGCAATCCTTTTGGAGATGGCCAAAATTCTTGCATTTATAACATTGTGGTTTCCCTCAGAACCAACAATCCTTCTGTCACGACCCAAACCCGCCCCTATGGGTTTAGCACCGTAACCGGCCAGTAATCCGAGATTACTGAAGGCCTGCCTAACAGTAATACAGTAAAATAGAGTACAGGGGCTTGGCGGAAGCCAAAACAGTAAATAAACAATGTCCAATGAGCTGTGACAGTCTGTATGCAAAAAGACTTTTCATTCAAATATATACAGCCGGACAAAACAGTATGTACATATATACAATCATTCAGTTCAGGGACCTAATCTCTATTAAATAGTACAGTACAATAAACAAAACGGTTACAGAGAGAGAAGGGGGAACTAAAACACCCTAACACAATGCGTAAAGGGGTTAAGAATGAATGTCCTTACAGTAATGAAAACAATTCATTAAATCAGTATTTCAGTCATTCAGTCAGTACAGTCATATGTGGTACATCCATTAGCATAATAGTACAGTAAACAGTAGGTCTTAAAAGACCGAACAGTCAATGATGGCCATCAATCAGTAAACAGTAGTGGTTCCAATAAGGGAACCGACAAAGATCTCTGCAACAGTAACAGTAAACAGTAGTTGCTAAAGATGCCACAATACAGTTCAGAATATAGGACATACATTCATTCAATTAACAATATTAGTTCAGAAAGCAGTACAGTTCAATTGTTCAAAAGATAATCATTTTGAACATATCTTTACACATTTGTTACTCACAGAGTTCTGGGCTATAGTAAAGCTAGAGTGCGTCCCCAGTCGCCAACCCTACACAGTTACAGATTGAACACACACTAAGCTACACAGTTGGGAAAATAATAACTTAATCCCTAATTTGCCTCGATGTGTTCTACATCTATATCCTCGTTAAGATGCCTTAAACTAGGTCTAGTAATGCCTAGGATGAGATGAGGATGCAAAGATGCACTTTTGAAAGCATTTTCAGAATTTTCAGAAAACAGGGTTCACGCTCGAGCGCATATTACTCCGCTCGAGCGGACTTGCAGACAAAGGTTTACGCTCGAGCGTAGACTTACCCGCTCGAGCGTTCTGCAAAACAGTCAAAAGTACTGGATAAGTGAAAATCACGCTCGATTGGGCGCTCGACACCCACTCGAGCATGAGACACAAAGTCCTGCTCGAGCGTCAATTATTCCGCTCGAGCGGACTCCAAAACAGTGCAAAGTACTGGGAGCACGAATTGCACGCTCGAGCGCCAGTCACCCCGCTCGAGCGTGAGTTCAAAATTTGAAATTCCCAGATGTGAACCTCAAGCTCAAATTCAACTTTTAAACCATAAATTTCGATCCTCTTGGGCCAATTTTCCAGAAAACATCCTAAAACTCATAGTTTAACATGATTCCAAAGCTCAATTGTAAAATCAAGGCCTAAGGGGGTTTCAAACAACTCAATTTCAAACCAATTTTCAAGAATATGAAAAACATGCAAACATGCATGAACTTAAACCATTTCAAAGCTCAATTTCATGCTCTAATGAGCCAATTCTTTTCAAAACAAGATGAAATCATGGACTTAACATAATTATGAGCATGCATGTAACATTTTGCCATGAAAACAACTCAAAACTCAACAATTCACACATGCATGCATGAATTAAGCTATAATTCAACATGTGAAGCTGTTACATGACTTAATCCACTAAATTTGACATGAATCATGTAAAAACAAGTTCAATTCACAAATAAGGGGGTGATTACACTACCTTAGGTCTAGGATGCAAGATATACAAGCTCAAATATGCACTCAATCCTTCAATTCCTTCAAATTTGAAACCAAAATTCAAGATGAAGCTAAGTTCCTCTACCTCTCTCTCTCAGTCGGTTTTGCTTCTCAAATGTGGCTGAACAAATGTGTGCCTAAGTGTAATAAGGCTCAACATATTAATAGACAAGGGCCCCACTAGATGGCATTTTGGTAATTAAGTCTAAGTTGTGCAATTTATTAATAATTAACCTAATTTAATCATACCAAATCACATTTTAACTAAATATGCCATAAAATCGCTTTAATTCTAAGGATCACAAATCATCAATCAATTTCAGATTCGACCGCCGATAAGGCCTTCAATTCGCAATTTAAACACAAAAACATGAACAGATAATCAAACAGTCGACAGATAGACATACAATTAAACAGGTATACTTAGTCAATTCAGTTTCAGATTTCAGTCAGTTAGTTCAGTACTTTAATCAATTCAGTTATTAATCCTAATCAGTCTCAGTTTAGCAATAATCAGTGGTCAATCGGTAAACAGTGACGAGGGTTGTTACACTTTCTCTAGATGATTTCCCCATTCACAAATTCTGCACATGCTCGTATTTTCTTTCACTCTTGAACTTTTATCAATGTTGCTTCTACCTCTTCCCTTGATGTATTTTTTCCTCTACCTCTTCCTCTTCCTTGTCTACCACTTCTTGATGATTCCCCTCTTGTTTGTTCATTACATGATGATGTTCCGCGACTTTTAGAATTCAAATTAACGTTTGATTAGATTGCGCTCTCCAAAGGCTTCTCTTATTATTTTAACAACCTTTGTTTATAAGCTTTCAAAGAACCCATCAATTCTTGGACACTCATTTCAGAGATATCCTTTGTTTCTTCAAATATTCCCACCATTATGTAATATTTTTCTCGTAAACTAACTAGAATTTTCTCAATAATTCTCTTTTGTTCAACTCTTTTACTATATGATTTCATTTGATTGACAATCTCTATCAGTTTAGAGAAATAATCAGTTAAAGTTTCAGATTCTTTCATCTTCAAATATTCTAACTCCCTTCTAAGAGTTTGGAGTTTGATGATTCTTACCTTTTTGTTTCCTTGAAATTCTTGTTATAAAATATCCCATGCTTCCTTTGATTTCTTGGCTTCAATGATTCTTGAAAACAACTCATCAGAGAGTGCTTGTTGGATGGAGAAGAGTGCTTTAGCATCATTTTTTATGGTTTCCTCTAGTTGCTGCTCTTGTGTTGAAGTTAATGTAGTTGTTGAATTAGGTTCATCATACCCATTTTATATCAAGTTCCATGAACCTTGGGACTGGAATAAGGTGTTCATCCTTACACACCAATAATCATAATTTTCTCTAGCAAAAATGGGCATAGATGGTTGCTGGATACCTATACTTTGGTTGTTTAAGTTAGCCATGGATATTTTCTACAAAACCCATTTTTCTTTTTCATACACATTCTATTTTCAGCCCTCATTTTCAAATCCAAGCTTCCACTTCAAACTAGGCTTTGATACCACTTTATGTTGGGTGTTTTGGAAGCAAATGTGTGTTTAAACTACAAAGGAATCAATCGAAGTTTTCGTTTGGTTGGATGGGTGAATACATGGGAAAAAGATAGCCTCCTTTTTGGGCTTTGATTGGAAAGTTTTGTTCGGTTCGTAAGGGCCCAACACGGGTCCCTATTTTTTAATCGAAACCGTGTAATGTGTAGAACTCGTCGACTACTATATGTTTCTCAAAAATCACGTTGATTGGATATCGATAGTTATGTGATCGTGTTAGTTTTTTTGTCAACTGTTAACTATAATACCATCCATTTTTTATACAAAACTGATTTGATCATGTAGCTATAGATATTCGATAGAAGTGATTTTTTGTGGGGATATAGTACTAGACGATTTCTATATATTAAACGGATAGGATTATCAAAACGGGACTCATGGTAGGCCCCACGGGTCCAACTTTACCAAAACGGGACATAAATTTTTTTTTTTTCCCCATTCACTGCAGTGGGTTTGACGTTGACGTCAGTACGTTGATGGTTGATTTGTATTTATATATTAATTTTTTTATATTTATTTTAGTGAATAGTGATAATTTTTAAATTTTTTTAATAATTTTTTGATTTTTTTTTAATTTGTCAAACTTAACCTAAATTTGGTGGTTAAAAATGGCAAGGGTCGAAGATGGGCTTACATGGGCGGACTAGCATGGACCTCGGGCCTATAAACATAAGGCCAGGGAAGAGGCGGCGAGGCCCAAAAGACACGCAAATCACAGGGCGAGCTTGACCTCCTATTTGAACTTTGATTACTGTTCGAACCTCATATACGTACAATGTACGCATACACAGCGTATAGACTACGGACACACATCTGTACTGTTCTCTTTACTGCCCTCCTCCTACGCCGGCCAAACCCATTAACGAACCGACACTTGCAGATCTACTTGTCTCTCTCTCTCTCTCCCTCCCTCCCTATTCTCTCTCAAATTTCTCTCTAGGGTTTTACCCTCCCCTTCTCATCGATCTTCAAATTCATCTCCCTCTCTCTCTGTCTCTGTCTCTGTCTGTGTCTCTCTCTCTATATATATAATATACACATGTATATATGCATATGTATTATCGATACTTAGATTGTCTAGTTAGGGTTTGAGTTTCGATTTTGATGAAGATCTAGTTCGGGATTTTGCTTGCAGTTTGAAACCCTAAGTTTGGGAGCAATGCAAAGCTCGGGCCCCCACGGGTCCAACTTTACCAAAACGGGACACATAATTTTTTTTTTTTTCCCCATTCACTGCAGTGGGTTTGACGTTGACGTTAGTACGTTGATGGTTGATTTGTATTTATATATTAATTTTTTTATATTTATTTTAGTGAATAGTGATAATTTTTAAATTTTTTTAATAAATTTTTGATTTTTTTTAAATTTGTCAAACTTAACCTAAATTTGGTGGTTAAAAATGGCAAGGGTCGAAGATGGGCTTACATGGGCGGACTTGCATGGACCTCGGGCCTATAAACATAAGGCCAGGGAAGAGGCGGCGAGGCCCAAAAGACACGCAAATCACAGGGCGAGCTTGACCTCCTATTTGAACTTTGATTACTGTTCGAACCTCATATACGTACAATGTACGCATACACAGCGTATAGACTACGGACACACATCTGTACTGTTCTCTTTACTGCCCTCCTCCTACGCCGGCCAAACCCATTAACGAACCGACACTTGCAGATCTACTTGTCTCTCTCTCTCTCTCCCTCCCTCCCTATTCTCTCTCAAATTTCTCTCTAGGGTTTTACCCTCCCCTTCTCATCGATCTTCAAATTCATCTCCCTCTCTCTCTGTCTCTGTCTCTGTCTGTGTCTCTCTCTCTATATATATAATATACACATGTATATATGCATATGTATTATCGATACTTAGATTGTCTAGTTAGGGTTTGAGTTTCGATTTTGATGAAGATCTAGTTCGGGATTTTGCTTGCAGTTTGAAACCCTAAGTTTGGGAGCAATGCAAAGCTCGGGGAGCTCGGCGGCCCAGCCGGAGGCGATACTGGAATGGCTGCGGAAGGAAATGGGGTATCGACCATTAGGACCGTACAACGCTTCGAATAAGGCGGCAATGCCGTCGATTGACTCGCTTCGGAAGATTTGCCGTGGGAACATGATTCCGGTGTGGAACTTCTTGCTGATGAGAGTGAAATCGGAGAAGACGGTGGAGAATATTCGCCGGAATATACTTGTTCACGGTGGGGACGAGAGTGGTAGCACCACTGCTGTGGTGGATCCAGTGAAAGCTGTGGAGGTGGGGAGGGGTAGAGGGAGGAGGAAAGAGAAACTGGGGGTGAGTGGGGAGAGCTCGAGCTCGAGTTCGAGTTCAGTGGAAAGTAGTAGAGAAATCGCATTGCAGGAGAGGGATTTGGCGGAGAAGGAGGTGGAGAGGTTGAGGCATATAGTAAGGCGGCAGCGAAAGGAATTGAAGGCCCGAATGTTGGAGGTTTCACGGGAGGAGGCAGAGCGGAAGCGAATGCTTGATGAGAGGTCAAATTACAGGTCTGAATTATCAATCAAAATTTATTGGCTTTTTGCTGTGCTTAAATTTTTTTATGTGAAGTGAGCTAGTTACTAATTTCATGTGTTTCGACATTCTGGGAACTTAAATCCTGGATGGTTAGAAATATACAATTGATTGACTAAGAAAGTAAAATTTAATTGTTTATGACTGACTGCTACCAAAACCAACAAGACTATTATTTGTCCAAATTACCTGCTGCACTGCTGTGTATGCAGTGATGTATGCTTTGTCATAGTGCATTGAAAGTTTTGTTTCAGACAACAAGTAAATGAAAAATTTTGTACTTGAAAAGGAAAACTAAACAAATTATTTTATTGAACTGTTTTTGTATGGCAGCCTCGTTTGTGAATAGGCTATTTTAGTAACTTTTTGACTTTTTACGAAAAGATGTGCAGAAAAGTAGAGAGAATGATGTGACAATATATAATGACTTTGGCTTTTTGGTTAAAATGTATAGTTGACAAACGAGTCTTAGAGTGGCCAATAAGTGGAGTTCAAACTTTGAGCAAACTGGTTTGAACCCGGAATGCAATATGCTGCCTAATGGTGTTTGGGAATTCAATTTCTGGAATGTTAGAACTTAGAAAAGGACAATTATATGGCTGAAAATGAAAACTGAACACTTGATTTTATTGGATTTAATAGATATATAAAAAAGAATGATATGTAGAGTGATTTGTGATTTTCACAAGACTGACTGCTGATATCACTGAGAGGTTTATGAAAATTTGCAGTGTGGAGTGTTGATAAGTTCAAAGTCATATTGTTGCAGGCACAAGCAGGTGATGTTGGAGGCTTATGAACAACAGTGTGATGAAGCGGCAAAAATATTTGCTGAGTATCATAAGCGACTTCGTTACTATGTTAATCTAGCAAGGGATGCTGAAAGGGTCGGTGTTGATTCTTCTATTGAAATTGTCAACAGTTACAGTGCAAATAGCGTGAAAGAGGCTGTTTATTCAACTGTTAAAGGCACCAAATCTGCAGACGATGTTATTCTTGTAGAAACAACCAGGGAAAGAAATATCCGAAAGGCATGTGAATGTCTTGCATCGCAGACGATTGAAAAGATTCGAAACTCATTTCCGGCTTATGAAGGAAGTGGCATCCATTTGAATCCTCAATTGGAAGCTGCTAAGTTAGACTTTGATTTTAATGGGGATATGTCTGATGAGGTTAGAAATGCAATTCTAAATTGTCTGAAGAGTCCTCCTCAATTGCTTCAGGCTATTACTGCATACACTCTACGAATGAAAACACTGATTACAAAAGAAATAGAGAAAATTGATGTTAGAGCTGATGCAGAAACTTTAAGGTATATTTATGATTTGGTCTCAATCTTTCTTTGTGCCTTTTTGACTTGAAACAATTATCATTATGAAAATATTTTAACAAGGATATAAATCAAACAAGTTCTAGATTTCTGAGCTTAAATTATCAATTGGTTGGCTGTTTATCATCTCACTATCAATTTGTGATTTATTATCCTACATCTTGCCGTAAAGTTTCGTATATGACTTGCATAGCTGTTTCATATAGCGATGACACATTTGTTACATTTGTAGTGCAATCTTTCAATGTAGTATCACTGTTGCGATGTCAGTGTGAACATTTCCTCTTTTAGGTCTATTAATTGATTTCATTATTGTCTTCTAAATCAGGTACAAGTATGAGAATGACACAGTAATGGATGTTTCTTCTCCTGATGTGAGCTCACCGTTACAATATCACCTTTATGGTAATGGAAAAATTGGACTTGATGTGCCTTCAAAGGGAACTCAAAATCAACTTCTTGAAAGACAGGTCATTTTTTGGGGGTAACCTATTATTTACATTTGTGCTGCTTAGCTTTTTGCATTTGTAGTAACTATTTAAGTATTTTCTTTCCAATTTTTCACAACTCAATTAATTAGCTTTCTTTTGCTAATCTTGCTGGTCATTTGTTACTCTGGGTGGTGATTCACGTTTTTTATTCGAAGTTTATGTTCATCTTTGTGTCACTGGATTCCTTATCTATCTCATTGATGTTGTATGGTTGTTGCACCTCTACACCTTGTGTTTGTCGAAGTTTTACTTATTATTTAATTGTTCTGTTGATATCTTTCATATATGTATATACCTATGTATTTCATTTTATTTTCACAGAAAGCACATGTTCAGCTATTTGTGGCTACTGAAGATGCACTTAACAAAGCTGCAGAAGCTAGGAATTTGTGTCAAAAACTGATGCAACGTCTGCATGGAGGTGGTGATGCTGTATCTTCACAATCACGCGTTGGAGGCACATCACAAAATGTGGGCAGTCTGCGGCAATTTGAGGTACTATGTTGGTAATTTGATTTAGGAGACAAGGGCTGTACTAAGTTGAATTATCAATGAATAAATTGAATAGCGTAATGTATTTCCCAGCATGATGCTCACTGACCAGTGCGTTTGTTCTTAATCTTTTCCCACATTTGGATTCTTTGCTTAAAACAATCCTGTTAGTATATTATATTCATATTTTTTAGTTAAGATATTTATCTTTTGGGTATGATTGGTTAATATAGTTGACTTGATTACTCATGATTTAGTTGTTCTTACACTTTATTGTTGGACATGTCTTTTGTTATGTGTTCTGGTTAGTATAGGATGGAAACAGTCAACATGTTTCGCAGATAAAAAATGGTATCCATGCAACAAATGCTCCAGGGTGCCACACACACACTCAGAATTTTTCAGTTGTTTGAAGTGGGAAATTTAAATCTAATGGTCAAAATCATTACATAAAAATATCGTTTGATATAGTTCTTTAGCGTATTTTTTTCATATAAGATGGTGTATCCCAGCTGTCTTTGATATTCACATGGTGGTATATGGATAGGTGGTTGGGAAAATATTAGAGTTGAACAAACTTTTCATTGGTTTGCTGTTCCAACTAAAATGATGTGATAGCTGTCCTCTAACTGGGATATAGCTGAATGGACTTGAAATCATTATTATGACTATGATATGACTGCCTGTGGTTTCTTATGCCAGGAAAAAGAATAAATAAATAAAATTGAAAATTGTAATTTGGTTGCCTTTGATTTAATGGATTTTAGGGTCTTGTCTCTGGTGCAAATAGTTGAATTGGTGCTGAATTTTTTCCATTCCCTGCCCTTAATAATAGTTGAAAACCAATAAATGTGCAACCAACTGATCCTGACTTTGTGAACGGCAAAGAGTCCCAGGTGCAACAGCAGCATTCTTTTTTGGAGGCTCCTGTGCTTCCATTGCTAACCTAGTCATTTTAAAATAGCATTCAGCTTGCTTGTTTTCATTTTTCAGAAAACACTTTTCAGAAAATTCTGGCCTTGTTTGGTTTGTGTTTCCCAAAAATTTTTGGGAAAAATTCTCTACAAATAAGTTTTCAAAAGTAATCAAATCAAACAAATTTTCCCAAAAAAATTTCCCAAAACTTGTTCGGTTTGCAAGTTTTCCAAACAGATCTCTCTTTCATACACATCAAATCAATCACTTTTTTCAAAACACTCTCTCAAAATAATTTTCCAAAACATCTTTTGAAAAAAATCAAACCAAACAACTTTTCATACTTTTTATCTATAAAACACATCTCCCAAATTCAAACCAAACATACCCTCTACGTTCTTATTTTCCGTATTTTTTTTGTTTTTATTGGATTTTTTTAATATTTTAAGTAATTTTTTTTACTTTTTAGAGACACCTAACATAAATACACCTAAAAAGTAAAAAAATTGTAAAAAAAATCTTTTAAAAATTCATTAAATACCAAAAATACAAAAAAATATATAAGAATTCAGTATATTTTTTTTTTGTATTTTTATGTATTTATTAATTTTTTAAAATATTTTTTCACAATTTTTTTACTTTTTAGATACATCTATCTAAGGTGCATCTAAAAAAGTAAAAAAAAATGTTTAAAATTTAAAAAATATTCACTAAAAACAAAAGAATACGAAAACAAAAAAACTCTGTTTTCAAAAAACTTAATCCAGAAAACTCAAACCAAACGCACTGATTAACTTTTAGTTTCCATGCCAGAGAATTTTGTTTTATTTTTCAATCTTGAACCTATTGACTGGCCACTGGCCTAGAAAGGTTCTACTGTATTAGTTATATGCATCTGAGTGGTCATCCTTTTTCGAGCTCAGGATAAAATTGAATTGTAAGCTGACCTGCAAGAGCTTGTTTCTTAGCAGTTTCTTATTGTCTTTGTATAGTTGGAGGTTTGGACCAAAGAAAGAGAAGCTGCTGGATTGAGGGCTAGCTTGAATACATTAATGTCTGAAGTACAACGCTTGAATAAATTATGTGCGGAGAGGAAGGAAGCTGAAGATTCTTTGAGAAAGAAGTGGAAAAAGATTGAAGAGTTTGATTCCCGCAGATCTGAACTTGAATCTATATATAATGCTTTACTTAAGGCTAACACGGTAAGATAACTCTGATTTATGCATCTCTTATGGAACTTTAAACCACTAATGGGTATGCTTAGATTAATCATGGCATTGACTTAATGATAGCAGAGTACCAGGAGCTGATATTGCCATCAGTTGGTCGTATACCTCAACTCAAGCCATGCAGATTTCTATCTTACTGATTGGGGTGTGTGTGTGTGTCAGTCATGAGGGTTTAACACTGCATCTTGAATAACTGTTCGGAGAGTAGCTATCTTGTGTTTTTAACGTGTACTAATTCTAAGCAAATCACCTCCTACATTTAATGTTTTTTTCTTTTTTCTTTCCAATGCTTCATAAATTAGATAGTGTTCTTATGCTCATTTCTTTCACCTTTGTAGGATGCTGCTGCATTCTGGAGCCAGCAGCCATTAACTGCAAGGGAGTATGCATCAAGCACCATTCTCCCAGCATGCATGGTGGTTGTGGAGATATCAAATAGTGCAAAGCATCTTATTGATGAAGAAGTGTCAGCCTTTTATCGGAGCCCTGATAATAACCTCTACATGCTTCCATCGACCCCACAGGTCTGTAAAAGTGAAGAGTACAATTTTATGCATGATTTATATCATAGCTTCCGACTGCATGCAACATGTTCGCTGCCAATGGTTGAAAATTCACTTTCTTTCCTATTTATGGGTGCAGGTTCTAGGATCTGTTTATGATTGTATGGTAATAGAATAATATGTCTAAGTACCCATCTCAGACTTTTGGAGAAATTACTCCTGTTGTCTTGATGACTAGAGAAATACAGTTACTTATTAGATCTGATATACACAATGTATCTTTAACACCAGTAACTGATGTATGAATTTGATACAGTAGAGTTCTAGTTTTCAGGTCAGGCACCAAAAGATTGGATTTGCATAATCAGAAGTATGTTTAACATTGTTGAAGAATTAATAATTCATGTAATGAGATAAAAGATTAGAATAAATGATATTATCAATTGCTTCATAAATCTGAAGTCAAGCATGTTACTGTAGGAATACCTGGTCAACATTCTGTTAACAAAGCAAAAGGACCGTTTAGAGGTGTTGCACAGGCCATGGAGGGCAAGATGGACACACAACTGGCACTATGAATTTTATGTAAAAAAATGCTATTGTTGTCAAACGAACTTTTTATGCCAATACTGCATAATTTTAATTCATGTCTAGATCACCAATTGCCCAGAAGTGCAAGTTATTAGGAAATGGGCCATTATATGGACCAAATAATGGTTTTGTGTGCATATTTGGTGTCTACTTGATACATTTTTGTAGTTCATGCTTACAGTATGCTACTCCCTTTGGTTTTCAATCAGGCACTCTTGGAATCCATGGGTGCTAATGGATCTACAGGAACCGAAGCAGTTGCTGCAGCAGAAAAGAACGCAGCTCTATTGACTGCTAGGGCTGGTGCTAGGGATCCGTCAGCAATTCCTTCTATATGCCGCATTTCTGCTGCCCTTCAGTATCCTGCTGGTTAGTTTTTTTTCATATAAGTGTGCCTTAATATTGCTTGAGTAATGTATTTATTGGTCATGTCCGGTTTAATCCCAAAGGTTTTGTACCAAGCTGAAGGAAGTGCAGACATGTTCTCCTGTTTTGATTGTCTCCTAACCATTTGAGCAAGTTTCCAGCAGCAGGGATCCCTACTGGATTTTTGAGCATTCATTTACAAATTTTGTGAATCTTGTGGTTGCCATTAAGTCCAAAAATGTTTTGGGCTATTGAATATGAAAGCAACATGTAAGTAGCCTACTTAGGGATGGAGATAGGGTGGGTTTAGAACAGCAATACTTGATTCTGAAGGATGCTTTTTCCAAACAAATTCCATTTCCATGCTTCAGTTGGGGAAGATGGGGCCTTTATGGGTTGTCCAGTACAATATCATTTTGAAATGCAAAACTGAAAGGATATGAAATTTTAATGAACGCCTAACCTGAATCCACATCAAACGTTTAGGTTAGAACATGGATTTGCCTCTGTATGAGAGGATGCCTGTGCCCATTCACCAGGAATTTATTCATCTTCTCAGTGGGCCTCTTACTTCAAATATTAATAAGAACCCACAGTGACTATTTATGTAAGGTAATAAAATAAGAACACTTCTACTGGTGCATATGAATAAGAGAGGCTTTAAAATCTGTTCCATCTTAAACCCAATACAAGTCACCAATTCTGAGCCTGTTAGTGCCCCTACTATGAGTGTTGACATTTCATCCTTGCTGGCATAGAGGTGGCTTATTTGTCATACCTTAAGTAACCCACTTCCATGCTGAAGCTTACTGGGATTCTCTTTCATGTAGCCTTGCTCACTGAAGCACACCTATTCAGGAGTTGAAATTCTGTCTCACAAAGGAAATGGTCTATTGCATCCAGTATAAGAACACTCTGGAGACAATGTAATGTTAGAAATAGAGGATGCAGTAAGATATTATACCATAAAGCTTAAGGGCCAACTTATGATTTTTTACGTGTTTGAATGTGAATATAAAAGCATAAATACAGTGTAGTAATTGAAAGCACATGCTTTAGCAGTTAAAATTTGCAACCAACTTAATTTAAAATTTGAGAACACATGCTTTAGTAGTTGTATATAAAAAGGCTGTTTGGTTTCCACTTATTTGCAACTTATTTTGTTTAAATTTTGAAAACACATGCCTTAGTAGTTGTAACTAAAATGGTAGGGTGTTTGGTTCCACTTATTTTGTTTTCAGCTTATTTTCCTTTTCAGCTCAAAAAAGTTTAAATAGCTTTGATTTTTAAGTTGGGTTTTAGATGGTTTTTTAAGCTAAGAGAGTGTTTGTGGTGTACTACAAAAGTGCACTTTTTATTTTTGATCTTTTTATCTTGGGCGAATTATACTAACGGTTCTTATAGTTTAAGGCTTGTGTCACTTTGGTTCTCGACTTTTCAATTGGGACACATTTGATCTTGAATTTTGAATCTTGTTTCAAATAAGGACAATTGAAGATATCATTGGTCAATTTCAAGAGCAAAATCATCAATTTGATAAATATATAAACTAATTTGACAAAAATAAATGTCAAAAAAATATTTTTAAATTTGTAAAAATTATTTTTACCTGCCAAAGATAAAAATATGTAAAATTGATAAATTTTTTACACATTTATTTATTTATTTATTTTTACTAAATTAATTTTGTTATGTATTTGGATGATGTTCATGTAATAAGTGGTTATTAAGCTTTTAATGTGTAATCGATATATATGAAATGTTTTTAGTTTTGGATTTTTTAATTTAATGGATTGGTTTAATAATGATATTAAAGTTGTCGTGATATTTGACTTTTGAAAAAATAGAAACTAATTTAATGGAAAAACAACAACCACCTTATCCAAATACATAATAAAAATTTATTTGGTAAAAATAAAAAATAAATGTGTAAAAGGTTTATCAATTTTACATAATTTGATCTTTGGTGAATAGAAATAATTTTTGAAAATTCAAAAATATTTTTTTGGCATTTATTTTTGTCAAATTAGTTTATATTTTATCAAATTGACGACTTTGTCCTTAAAATTGAGCGATGGTATCACCAATTATTCTTATTTGAAACAAACTTCAAAATTCATGGCCTCAAATGTGTCACAATTGAAAAATCAAGAACCAAAGTGACACGAGACCCAAACTATAAGGACTGTTAGTGTAATTCAACCTTTTATCTTTTTTGGGTCACATTATCTCTGTACTTTTCTGCATATCTTTTTGTAAAAAATCAAAAAGTATACTTATTTAGATCATCTCAGACACTTCTTAAGATCAGTTTTTTGAAGTTGTTTTATTTTGTAGTGCAATCAATTAGGCTCCATATGTATGGGCGGACAAAATGGTTTGGTTTCATATAGACCAAGGAATTGATCTAATCCAGTTTTGGGTTAATTTTATGTATTTATTTTGAAAATTACCGTGTTCATCTAATAAATGTCAGTATATATGCCTTCAACATTATATCCCATGCCATTGGTGTAACCTTGTTTTAACTTAATAGTGTGTACTATTGTGAAATGTCAAAATGTCAGGTTCACCATATTTAATATTTACATTGTTCTCTGGCAATGTATACCTCAGGGGCTCTGCCATTGTGTCTGTTGACTTGCTGTTTCTGCAATGAATGCTTGTGAAAAGTAGTACTACCAGCACCTTGATAGGAAAAAATATATATATGGCATTTCAGTGGTTAGATAGAGTATTGGTTTCATGTGGCAAAAAATATTCCTTTTCAAAAAAAGCTAGTACTAGTTTGGTGTGAAAGGAGCTATGTCTGAGGTAACTTGAAGACAGTCTTAATGATAACTTATATAATTACAAAACTGAATTCTGCATTGAGGGTTAAGAGTTTAGTCTGGAAATAGGCCCTTACAGAGCAGGATGACTCAATCTTTGAAATATATTAGTGGGATTACTTGTCAAAGTGTTAAATTAAAAGTTATATTAGGTTTAAAATTGTGTTGAAACATAACAAAAGCAGAGCAAATTTTAGTATGCACTACTTTTGACACAATCTTCTTGACAGAAGCAATTCTAACTTTTCAATTAATGAATGACTGATGAGCATTCATATCTTCTTTCTTGTTTAAAAGATATCTTTAGTTGATCCAAGTCACAGTTACAGAAGATATTTTTTTTGTATTCTTGCATTTGGAGCTGACTTGATTTTGATCCACCACTTTTTAACTGATCCGGGTTGTAAGGGACAATCTTTAGTATTTGTGTAATTGGGAACTGATCCACTTTTTAGATAGAGTCTGGTTTTGGCCCTTGATGGCTTTTGTAGGTACCTTTTCGAATGGTTACCTGAGAATGTTTGCAACCTTGTAGATTTAGGAGTGACTGTTATAATTTGCTCAGGGAATTTTGAAAGTTTATTAATGGCTACCTGCTTGCAGTATTACCCTTAATTTTTTTTTCTACTTGTTCATCATATTAATTAAATGATTTCTCATCAGGTTTTGAAGGTTCAGATGCTGGTTTGACATCAGTATTAGACTCCCTAGAATTCTGCTTGAAGCTTCGTGGTTCCGAGGCTTGTGTGTTGGAGGACTTGGCAAAGGCCATCAATTTGGTCCATATACGGCGGGATCTTGTTGAAAGCGGTCATTCATTGTTAAATCATGCTTACCGTGCACAACAAGAATATGAAAGGTACTGCTGAAACTGTACGTTTTCTCTTATATGTACTGGACAATACATAATGTTTCCATCTGAAAACTTTGCATATTGCCGAAAGCAAACTTTTCCCCATTCTGCCTATTAATTTTCATCAATATGCAAGGAAACCCACTGAAGATAGTATAGTTGGTTGAATGCCATTCTTAGCTACAGAAGGGAAAACAAGGACCTGACCAATCTGCTGCTGTGCCTTGTTTAGGAATTGTTGTTTTCATTAGCCTGGAAGTATAGATCTATCCGTCACATCCAATTTTGTTGTTGGATATGGTTCACACATTGTGTTAGCGTCTTAATACTGGAAGTTATGCTTCAATGTGTGTGACCACCGAATTGCCTGTATCCATTTTTGAGCATTCCTTGTGCCTTGTCCATTTTGGAGCATTCATTCAAAGAAAATCCTTGCAGGACCACAAGTTACTGTTTGAATTTAGCTGCTGAGCAAGAGAAAACTGTCATGGAAAAGTGGTTACCCGAACTAAAGCATGCAATTATGAATGCTCAAAAATGCCTTGAAGATTGCAAATATGTCGGGGGTTTGGTAAGTAACTATCATTCATAAAGTCATGATTTTTATATTTTCATCACTCATGGGTGCACTCCCAAAAGCTTTATCTAATTTACTGTACACATGCCATCTCTGAAAAAATGACAAAATTCCGTATTTTTTTGTTGTTTTTGTTGAGAACTGAAGTTCTTTGAATGTTTTTTCATAAAACTTGAGCTTCCATCCTTATTCGTCTCACTTTATGAAAAATTCACACTGAAAATCGGCCTGTCTGACTGAAGTGATCTGACCTTTTTCCTTAAATTGAGTTGGGCATCCTGACATCGCTTGGGGTAGTAATAAATCTGGAATTGTGTTTCTGTTTGTAGTGCTGCTACCTATTTTGATAATTGTAACCCAGGAAAACTTGACTTGAGTATAGAAATAAATTTGTTTGTGCTTCTTCCATGCACACATCCACCCGTGTGTACTTTGACTAAAGCACATACCTTCCTCATAGAAAAAAGCAGATTCAGAAGTAGATATATATTGCCAATACCTGGGCTGGTCCTAAATTCTAGTTACATTGCATTGTGCTGCCTTCCTTCCCACCTGCACTAAACATATCCTTTCATCTGCAGATATTTAGTGAAATCTTTGTTAAACAACAAAGGAAAGTAGTCCTAATAATAATTTGGGCATATTGAATTGAATGAATTTTGAATTGTAGTTGTGTGGAGTGTGTTGGATAATGTTCTAAACTTTTAAGCTGATATGTTGTGGATGTTAATTTTTATCTTTTTCCACTTCTATATACTCTTCAAAGTTTTCATATTCCAACACTTGCATGCAGCTTGATGAGTGGTGGGAACAACCGGCATCGACTGTTGTTGATTGGGTTACAGTTGATGGGCAAAATGTTGCTGCTTGGCATAATCATGTGAAACAGCTTCTCACATTTTATGACAAGGAACTTCTATGAACAAAACTTTTGAAAACCTGGAGCATTGAGGTTCATTGTAAGTGTAACTTGTTAACGTCTATTCTCTTCGCACTTTCTTGCCAATTTTGGATGCCATCTAAATCAGAGTATGTGTTAAACATTTTATAGTCCCCACTTGTTCATGAGAAAAAAAATGGTAGAATCGATTGAGGATAAAACTAACAGGTTGGTCTTGGGACATGGGAAACAAGGGGAAGGAAGGCCGAGGGGGGATGGCGAGGGTTTGTTGGGTTTCTATTTGTTGTTGCAGCCACACCATTTTTTCGTATTCTGTTGTTCATTTTTGTATAGATGGTCCTTCCTCTAGAAGAATCTTTTGTATGATAGGTAATTCATTGTTCCTGGATTCGGGTGGGTGTCTTCTGCAAGATTACTGTAACATTTGTGGGAAAAAAAAAAAAAAGATTTAATGCCATTAAATGGTAGTGTGGTTCATTTTGTTCATACCTTATTTTGACGTTACTGATAATAATGATGTTCACTATCATTTATAATTTTATTATTAATTGATAATAACATATATTTGTAATGACATGGTAGGATCATTATACTAAAATTTTCCATGTTAGCCACACCTTTTTAAAAATTATTTAACTTGATTTCAAGATTCGGAGATCTCACCATAATCTCGACAGTATATTTGGTGTGTTGTCGTTAATAATATATTGTTTTTGAAACTTCGTAGTCACGTAGTCAGAGTGAGTGTAATTGTTTTATCATTCTGCATGCAATTATTTAGTGGTTTTTGAGGATTGATAGAATATGTTAGTTTATTTTTAGGGGAAATTACTGTTGAGGACAGATTTTGGAAAATTATTAAACATTAGTGAAAAAGTTTGATTTTAATGATTAATATTTATAATGTTTACCATATTTTTGTAATGTGTTTTTTGACACCACTGAGGTGTAAAATTTTCCCCAATTTTTGTTAGACGATTGAAAGAGACAGAAAATAGTAGTTAGATTTGTTTGATTATCTTAATAAAAAAGAAGTTAATTTTTGGCTAAAAAATCAGAAAATAAATAAATTGTTTGTTGGTTAAGTAAGTGTTTCTATGAATGAGTAATTGTTTGGTTGATTATAATGTTTCAATAATTTGAACCGTGGTGGGTTCGAAGCGCCTAGATAACAAGATCAAATGATCAAATTTAAATTTGAGAGAATTTTAAACTATTAAAAGTTTACTTTTTAACTACTACCGAACATATTAATTTTTTTAGGTTCTAAAATAATAAATAAATAATCAATTAGAATAGCAATTATTCAATCCATCATAGGTTCATTTTGTTGATTTAAGTCATTTAATTTTTAATGTTCTGTTGACTGGATCGTTCATAGATGAAGTTAACTATGTATTTTTTTAAGACAAATTTGAACCATTATTCAATCCACCTAATTTTTCTTTTAGTAGATTAGTAGATAGATAAACAAAGGGAAAGATCTAACCATTTCCAACTTCCTAAGCCTCGTCTTCTCTAGTCATGGCAACTAATAACAGCTCCCCAAACACTTCCTCTATTTCTCCATTGTTGGATGATCTTCCTCGAGAAACATGGAGAGGAATAAACGATCTCTACATGTGGGAAGGCTTCTGGTACAGGCTTCCTCACCTTGTGGCAGCCATTGCAGCACAATCACGCTTCAAACCTCGGGACGACGATATCGTACTTGCTTCCTCCATGAAGACTGGCACCACATGGCTCAAAGCTCTCATCGCTACCATCATGAGCCCAAATGCTCGTTTGGCTGGCGATGAAGATGATGACAATTACGACCCTCTGATCAAAAACCATCCCAACGAGCTCATCCCATCTCTGGAAATTCAAATATTTGCAGAGAAATCTACTTATCTTCTCTCAGCCATGCCCTCCCCGAGGCTCTTTCGAACCCACTTGCCATACAAGATGCTTCCGGTGTCCCTCCGGAGCTCAGGTGATCCTGACCGAATTTTAAAAAATTATATATATATATATAATTTTTTAAAATTCGGTCAGGATCACCTGAGCTCCGGAGGGACTCCGGAAGCATCTTGTATGGCAAGTGGGTTCGAAAGAGCCTCGGGGAGGGCATGGCTGAGAGAAGATAAGTAGATTTCTCTGCAAATATTTGAATTTCCAGAGATGGGATGAGCTCTATAAAAATATGTTGGTATATAATTTTATCATATTTATCTCTCCAGTATACTTTTAAAATCATATTTTTGTTTATTTTTTTAAAATAAATATGATAAAATCATATAATCACGATTAATATAATTTGATCATGGGATCAATGTGATCTTTTTCAATGATATACACAAATTAAAATAAAAATTGAATATATTGGATCATCAAAGTGGAAGTGATAGTAAGACTAAAGACTGTTCAGTTGATGAATTATATGAATTTTCCTTTGACAGATTTCTCTTTATTTTTTTATAATTCTAATAATTTTAAGATTGAACAAACTGTTAGGAAAAAAAAAAAAAATGAGATATATTTTTTATTTCAGATTCTGCTCTTCACGTTTTCTGTTACATAATCAGGCTGCAAGATGGTGTACATCACTCGAAATCCCAAGGATGCCTTTGTATCCCTATGGCACTTCATAAACTCCGTTAGGACGAGCGAGCAAGGCCCGCTTCCCCTGGATGAGACTTTCGACAAGTTTTGCAATGGGGTTCATCCTTATGGCTCGTTCCACGACCACGTTCTCGAGTACTGGAAAGAAAGCTTGAAAAGGCCTGACAAAATTCTCTTCATGAGATATGAAGAGATGAAGAGGGATCCGAGTGGGGAGGTGAAGAAGCTGGCTACTTTTCTGGGAAGGCCTTTTGGAGAAGAAAAAGAAGAAGTTGATAAGGTGCTGTGGAGGTGTAGCCTTGAGAGGATGAAAAGCTTGGAGATTAATCAAAATGGGGTTGAGCCTTGGGTTGGGATTCCCAAAAGTGCTTATTTTAGGCTTGGGGTTGTTGGGGATTGGAAGAACAGTCTGACATTGGAGATGAAAGAGCGTCTTGATGGAATTACAAGCTCAAAGCTGGCAGGGGCTGGGCTGGATCTCTAAATTTAATCATCTTATCACATATGGAGTAATATGAGTGAAACTGTGTTCTCAACCAAGTGCCATGAGAGGTTTTAATAATAAACAATAAAACCTACTACTGATTCTTCTATGCGATGCTCTCAAATTATATTTTAATTATAATAATGTCTCTTAATATAATGAAACTTAATAAATTATTAATTACAATTCTTCAATAATCGCTAAACAACATGGTCTATTGCCTGTGTGATATTCTACATCAATACAACAATTACACACATTGTCACAAACCCATCCAAGCCATTGATTTATATGGATTTTACAAGGACGCTGCACAAATCCATGGCATGGATGCATTTGTAACATGACCACCCATCCAAGCCATTGATTTATATGGATTTTACAAGGACGCTGCACAAATCCATGGCATGGATGCATTTGTAACATGACCGCATTATTATCACCAATGGTTGTGAATAATTACTTAAACTAATAATGTAGTGAAAAATTTTATGAGATGCGACATACCAGCACCATTTTTTTAGATTCTAAAATAGTAATAAATAAATAAATAAGCAAAAAATCAACTAGAAAATTATTGTTTAGTATGTGTTGTGATTTATTAAGGACTAGAGCTAGAGGGTTCAATCCAATCCATTATGGGTTCGTTTTGTTAATTTAAACCATTTAATTTTTAATGTTCTCTTAAATGGATCATTCATAAATAATTTAAAATTATGTTAATCAAAGATTAATAATTATATATTTAGATTATATTCATACACGACAAATATAAGTTGAAAAATAGACCGTATGTTTTTAAAGACAAATGTGAATTATTATTCAACTCACCTTTTTTTAGAAGATTTGAATATAGATAAACAAAGGGCACTTAAAAGATCTAACCATTTCCAACTTCCTAAACCTCATCTTCTCGGGTCATGGCAACTAATAACAGCTCCCCAAACACTTCCTCCTCTACTTGTCCATTGTTTGATGATCTTCCTCGAGAAACATGGAGAGGAATAAACGATCTCTACATGTGGGAAGGCTTCTGGTACAGGCTTCCTCACCTTGTGGCCGCCATTGCAGCACAATCAAGCTTCAAACCTCGTGACGACGACATCGTACTTGCTTCCTCCATGAAGACTGGCACCACATGGCTCAAAGCTCTCATCCCTACCATCATGAACCCAAGTGCTCGTTTGGCTGGCCATGAAGATGATGACAATTACGACCCTCTGATCAAAAACCATCCCAATGAGCTCATCCCATCTCTGGAAATGCAAATATTTGCAGAGAAATCTACTTATCATCTCTCAGCCATGCCCTCCCCGCGGCTCTTTCGAACCCACTTGCCATACAAGATGCTTCCGGTGTCCCTCCGGAGCTCAGGTGATCCTGACAGATTTTTTTAAAAAATATGTAATTTTAAAATTATTATTTAATGTCAAAATATTTATTTATTTATTTATTTTATTTTGTTTACTGTTTTGTGATGCAAGAATCATTATTGCTTCCACTACCCTTTTTTTTATTATTTATTTCTTAATATTTTATTGTGAGAGTTTTCTTTTACTATAAATAGAGAGATTTTTTTAGTCATTTTATGTAAAGTATTCATAAAAATATGTTAGTATATAATTTTATTCAGCATATTTGGTTACAGTTTTTTAGAAATTAAGTTTTTTATTTTTTGTGAATAGTTTTAGAATTTTAAGCAATTTTTTACTTTTTTAGATGTACTTAACTTAGATGTATCTAAATAGTAAAATATTTGTGAAAAAATATTTTTTAAAATTAATAAATATACCAAAATATGAAAAATGTATTGAATTTTTATTTTTTTATATTTTTGGTATCTAGTGAACTTTTTAAAAAAAAATTTCATAAATATTATACTTTTTAAGTGTATTTACGTTAGGTGGTGTGTCTAAATTTTTTTTAAAAAAAATTGTTTTAAATATTCAAAAAAATTCATTGAAAATAAAAAAAAAATACAAAAAATAAAAAAGTAGATTTTTCTAAAAAGTATTTTCTGGAAACCAAAACTAAACAAGCTGATTATATTTGTCTCTACAAATGAACATTATATACTTTTAAAATCATATTTTTGTTTATTTTTTTAAAATAAATATGATAAAATCATATAATTTGATCATGATTTTTTTCAGTGATACACACAAATTGACATAAAAGTTGAATATATTGGATCATCAAAGTGGAAGTGATAGCAAGACTTAAGACTCTTCAGTTAAAGAATTATATGAATTTTCCTTTGACAGATTTCTCTTTATTGTTATTATTATTTTTTTTTATAATTCTAATAATTTTACGATTGAACAAATCATCAGGTTGCAAGATGGTGTACATCACTCGAAATCCAAAGGACGCCTTTGTATCCCTATGGCACTTCATAAACTCAGCCAGGACGAGCGAGCAACACCCGTTCCCCCTGGCTGAGACCTTCAACAAGTTTTGCAATGGGGTTCATGTTTGTGGCCCGTTCCACGACCACGTTCTCGAGTACTGGAAAGAAAGCTTGAAAAGGCCTGACAAAATTCTCTTCATGAAATATGAGGAGATGAAGAGGGATCCGAGTGGGGAGGTGAAGAAGCTGGCTGCTTTTCTGGGAAGGCCTTTCGGGGAAGAAGAAGAAGAAGTTGATAAGGTGCTGTGGAGGTGTAGCCTTGAGAGGATGAAAAGCTTGGAGGTTAATCAAAATGGGGTTGAGCCTTGGGTTGGGATTCCCAAAAGTGCTTATTTTAGGGTTGGGGTTGTTGGGGATTGGAAGAACAATTTGACATTGGAGATGAAAGAGCGTCTTGATGGAATTACAAGCTCAAAGCTGGCAGGGTCTGGGCTGGATCTCTAAATTTAATCATCTTATCACATATGGAGTAATATGAGTGAAACTGTGTTTTCAACAAGTGCTTTTTTTTAGCTAAAAAGCCAAGTGCCATGAGAGGTTTTAATAATAAACAATAAAACCTACTACTGATTCTTCTATGCGATGTTCTCAATTTATATTTTAATTATAATGTCTTTTAATATAATGAAACTTAATGAATTATTAATTACAATTCTTCAATAATCACTAAACAACATGGTCTATTGCCTGTGATATTCTACATCAATACAACAATTATGCACATTGTCAAAAACCCAACCAAACTATTGATTTGTATGGATTTCATAGGGACACTACACAAATTAATGGCATGGATGAATTTGTAACATGACTGCATTATTGCCACCAATGGCTGTGATTAATTACTTACTAATAATGTAGTGAAAAATTTTATGAGATGTGGCATACAAGTATCATTTATTAAGTAAGTTAGAAACAAAAGTGACTCGGTGTGTATATACGATTTCTTAAATATCATATTACACTCAGGCCATGTTTGTTTGGGTGGACTGGATTAGCATTCCCATGACTAATAGTCTTAGGATTACCAATTCGTTGGATTATGTATCCTATCTTAACTAATAGTCAAGTTTAAAATAATTAATCCGTACTTCAATTGTTTAACCAAACGTCGGATTAATAATTTTATTGGACTATTAGTCCAATCCAAAGCTCATGTCCACCCAAACAAACATAGCCTAAACTGAACTCATTCAAACCAATTAAAGATAAACAAATGTCATCTGTGATTTAATAGAGAGGGGGAAAGAAAACCATTAACACCCCTATAGGCTAGAAAACACTTACATGTGGTGCTAGATCACATCAGAGGCCATTTTACCGGAATATATACCTTCATAGTTTTGCAGTAAACACTTAAACTATTCTTAACTTAAACTAATCCCCCCCCCCCTTCATTAAACCTCCAAAATTTATGATCTAATCGATCGAGACCGTCATAAATGAAACCTAGATAGATCATATGATCTCTGTTCCATTAAAAACACATATATGCTATGACACCTATAAAAAAAAGAAGACTACTTTGGACCATTCGTGATTCCACAAACAGTAATGATAAGGAGGTGCAAATTATAGACTCTGTACAAACACCCATAAAATATTTTACTAAAAAAAAAAACTGACTATGATCTTGAGTTCAGTTTCTGAAATAAAGCCTCCGTTTGGGAAGTGGGTTAGTTTTTTAGCTTTTTGACTTTTTTGGCTATTTTAGCCTGGGCTAAAAAGTTTGGATTGGAAAAGGCTTTTTGGTTTTTTTGACTTTTTTTGTGAGAGAAGAATGTAATGATTATAGGTTTGATATTATATTTTATTTTTTGTGGCTAAAATAGCCTATTTTATCTTTTGTGGCTAAAATAACCAAAAAAATCCCGTTTAGCCAAACGGAGCCAAAGTAGTTTCATTTTATTTCAGCTTGATCTTAAACATACTATGCTGTTTTGTTAGCACAATCACTATCATTCTACATTACTTCAAAAATGCTTATGGAACCATATTGGTGATTATAATTCCTAGTTCATTTTGAGGCATAGTCAAAACCATCACTTTGGGTAACTACTTCATGTGGTAATTAAAATTGGCCTCACTTTGATTTGACCGGTTGTGGACCCATCAGTACTTTGGGACGTAACTAAACCATAGTATAACTTGTCTAGACTATACACTTTAAAGAGTGTTTACTATAAAACCGGGCAATTAAATAATCAAACTAGAATAAACTCTTATGGGGTTCTAAGGGTATTGGCACTGTGAACATCTCGGTTTTTATCTTGCAGGGGTGGGTGGTTGTTTGCACCCATTTTTGCTAGTTCCTATCGATAGATGGACCAGTTGGGATATGACATGTGGCAAAATCAAGTGATGGTTCAACAGTTGTGAAAGAGAGTAAGTGACATGGGAGAGATTGATAAATGTGCATTAAACAATGTTGGTGATGGAGCAGTTACTGGCAGTGATCATGGACTTAGTGGGCAGTCCTTCAAGAGGAAGCATGAACAAAGTGGTAGTCTTTCTCTATCGAGAGAAGGTTAGAAGGGCTTGCAGGCACGTGATAACTTGAAGAAGGGGCAGTTCGACAAACATCAGTGAAGGTCTAATGTGATTGGAAGGCTTAGAAGCCAGGAAGCAGTTGTAGCAATTACACATCAACAGTTGCAGATTGAGGAGATCATGGGGGCGTGAGAAAGAAGAAGTATAAAAGTTAGAAATTTGTAGAGATAGTGGACATCATCAACAACACAAAGACTTAGTTTTAGACTTAGCATAATCCAGGAGTAGCTTTCTTAGTTTAGAAGTAGTTTCTTCTACAATTCGGATCCTTGTAAACTTTTGTGAACTTTAGTAATTTTATCTTGGAATTACTTTTTGTTTACTTTGTTTGCTTTGTAACTGTTATCATCAATTGATCCAAAGAAGTCCTCATCCTTTCGAGGCATTCGAACTAGTATCACAAATGTTTGATTGTTCCTGTTTAATTGTTCAGTTTAAGATTATTGCTTGGTTGCTGTTAATCTAACCCCAGCATAATTTTTACTACCAATTTTTGACACGCCCAGTGGGACAACATCCTAATTTGGAACAATGGAAAAAACGAGTCATCAAAGCCAAATGAGTGGCCCTTTTGTACTGTCTATTAGCATTTTGATTTCACAATTAAAGAAGGTACTTGCATCTCTTTCAGTTGAGGAAAAACATATGCTGGTTTGTGAGTTAAGAAATGTTATTGATGATTTTTCTAGAGGGCAATGTCAGAGAAGGGTGGAGGTCCACGAGACACCTTCAAATATTGGTGTTGTTACTCCATCAATTGTCATGGTTGCAAAAACAGAAGGCCATGAGAATCAAAATTCCATGGCAAGCAGGCAATTTCACAATGAGAAAATATTTTCTGGGTTTTCAAAAAATATTTCTAACCTATTAATATGTGAAACAAAAAATTAGCCCTTTGTTGCAACTCTTAGTCCAGGGAGTAATGCAAACAATTTGGTTAAAAAGTGTGATCTTAAGCCAACTATGGCTGAAAATTATGAACAATCAAGTGTTCATGAGTTTGAAATCTTTGGCATTGTTCAAGATGTGAAGTATGAGTTTTTAAGACTATCTTATGCTATGGCTTTTATTATTCAAAATCCTTTTTGAATTTGTGGATCACATCAAAGTTTGTTTTTTATGAAATGGCTAACAAGAGAACGAAGTTCAGAAAGTTATAGAAATATATTACTAATTGTGATTTTTTGATTAGCCAATTTCGAAGTACCAATAACTAAAACAATCTGATGTTTCAAATATTTGCTTTATGGTTTAGAGTGTATGTCGACATTGGAAGGTTATTGTGCTCCAACTAATAGGCCAATTCTTACTGAAGTATTTCTATGGTTTAAAACACTTGGTTTATGCATTGCTCTGTTGATTGTGTAAATACATTGTTGATTGATGTAATCCATTACCAATTTAAAAACTCCTACATGAATTACATTGAACTACATTTGTGAAGGATGCACAACATATTTATCATGGCTTTTGGTGGCTATCTTATTAACATGGGCTTATAATAATCATTTTTGTTGGTTAGTAAAAAAGATTTATTTTAGTGATGATTTTTTGACAAATCAATTTTATATATAACTCTTTAAGAATAAGAAAGAATTCAAGTCTTCTCATTCTTAAAGAGTGGGGTGAGGCATTATTTGCACCCATTTTTGTTGGTTCATGTCGACAGGTGGACCAATTGGGATACGACATGTGGCAAAATCAAGTGAGCGTTCAACAGTTGTAAAAGAGGGTAAGTGATATGAGAGAGATTGATAAATGTGCATTAAACAGTACTGGTGATGGAACAGTTACTGGCAGTGATTATGGACTCAATGGGTAGTCCTTCAAGAGGAAGCATGAACAAAGTGGAAGTCTTTCTCTGTCGAGAGAAGGTTAGAAGGGATTGTAAGCACGTGATAACTTGAAAAGGGGGCAGTTCGACAGACCGAAGTGAAGGTCTAATGTGATTGGAAGGCCTAGAAGCCAGGAAGCAGTTGCAGCAGTTGCAGATTGAGGAGATCATGGGAGTGTGGGAAAGAAGAAGTATAAAAGTCAAAAATTTGCAGAGAGAGTGAACATCATCAACAACACAAAGACCTAGTTTTAGACTTAGCATAATCTAGGAGTAGCTTTCTTAGTTTAGGAATAGTTTCTTCTATAATTCGGATCCTTGTAAACTTTTGTGAACTTTAGTAATTTCATCTTGGAATTACTTTTTGTTTTCTTTGTAACTATTATCATTAGTTGATCCAAAGAAGTCCTCGTCTTTTTGAGACATTCGAACTAGTATCACAATTACATGATTGTTCATGTTTAATTGTCTAGTTTAAGATTATTGCTTGGTTGTTGTTGATCTAGCCCCGGCATAATTTTTACTAACAAGTGTTCAGTCATCAAAATGAAAACCAAACTGCACTACAAAAAACTTGATTTTTTGCGACGGTAAAATGCTGTCGCAAATACCCAAAACGCGGTCTCAAAAATTTTTTGGCGACAGTAACTGGCCTTTTGCGACGGCAAGAGGGGGTCGCAACAAAAGGGGTTGCAAAAGGGTTTTAGCGACGGTATAATGTCGTCGCCTTTTCTTTGCGACGGCAAAAATGCCTTTTTGCGACGGAAAAATGCTGTCGCCATTAACGCATGAAAATCTGAGTTTTTTTTAGACGGCACTGTGTTGCCGTCGCTAAAAGGGTTATTTGCGACGACACAAATACCGTTGCTAAAGGGTTATTTGTGACAGCACTTGATGCTGTTGCTAAAGTACTATTGGCGATGGCAAATTATACTGTCACTAAAAATCTTCCTTTTCAACCAAATGCCCTATCTTTTGCGACAGCATTACTGTCGTCACAAAAAACCCTGGTTCTATTTTTCTTTTTGAGACGGTGTGTGTGCCGCCGTCTCAAAAAAAAAAAAAAAAGCCATAAAAAAAAAAAAAAAAAAAACTGCAATAAAATTATTAAAAATATAAAAATTACCTGTATTAAATGAAAAATAACTAAAAAAGAAACCTATAATTATGTAATAATATAAAAAGTCCAGTATATAAATAAAAATTCATCCATAATTAAAATATTCTTCCATTCATAACAATACATCAGCAAAATTAT